GTGGCGGGAGAGGCATTCACTTTTATAGGGTGACAGTGGCCAATCAGTTCAAAGCGCGCGATGCGGGCTGATTGGCTAACATCAGTTGTTGCTAGGCAGACTATCTTACAGAGCGGGTTGTTTAAGTCGCCAGCGCAATCAGGGGGCAGGAAGCAGGCGCCAACTTGACTCACTCGATGGGAGGGGCAATCTAGCTCAGGCTCCGCTCCCACCCACAGGCCCTACGTCCGCCAAGGACGTAAGGCGACCGGTGTCGGCGGCTCCCAACATTCCAGGACTAGAATTCTTTCTTTGTTGGCAAAAGAAAAGTTGACTAGGGTTATCTAGACAAAAGGTGATTACCTGGGTAGAAATCAGGGTGGATGGGAACCTTTCCCAGCTCCTCCTACCTGAGGTCAGCAACCTGCAGCAGTCAGGAAGCCAAGGTGTAGGCCCACTGCTTGCAGAGTCTGTGCCACAGAGACTGTGCAGTTACATTTTCCTCTGTTCAAGAAATGACATCTAATTGGCCTAACGTGGTTTATGTGACCCCCAGAATGGGCCATAGCCAATGTAGAACCATGTAATTTTAATTTAAATAAATGTGGTGCTGTCAGGAAAGGGAAATTCCAACTAGAGGGTAATAAGCAAGAGATACTCAGGTACCTTTTCCCACTGTCAACCCAAGACACTAGTCTTCCGAGAGGTAAGTATTCTTTGCCTGATTCCACCTCAGCTGCCAATTGGTTCACTGGAAGCAAAGGGGTCTTGACCTCTCTCAGTCTCTGTTTTCAGTACTGACATGTTGTGTGGGTCTTCGAGCATTTCCGTATGCATCAATTTAGTCTGCAGCACGTAGACAGCTCTCTTGCTGTTCCTATGAATTTGTCATCAATTGCTCTTCATCATGGACTTATGCAGAAAGCACCAATGCTGAGTCAGTCATAACAGGCTGAGGTGAAGTCCTGATAGTTATAGCTTCAGTGCTGAAACGCAGTTCAGATATGGAAACCTGTGTTCCCCTCCCCTTCCAAGTGTGCGTGCATGCACACACACACACACACACACACCCACACACACACACACACGCACTTATATGTACTGTACATGGAGGAGACTAAGGGACAGGATGATCACCATGAGTGACTTGTAAATCCACAGCTATCAAGTGAAAAGGATTTAAGTTTCATTTTCTTGTCTGTGCATCATTTGTTGAGAAATGGTCCCCCATAAATGAAGGAAGGGAACAGTCACTTTCATTCAGCTTTGGTGCATACAATGGCCACAAGATACATAAAATAATTCAAAGTCAGATAGAAGGGCAACTGCATGTGTCTGTGAACAGAAGATAAGTTCATCTGGAATGTTGCCTGCAGTTTTGTGACCAACTGGAGTGCCCTTATTAGGTTCAAAGTCAGCACAAGCATTTCCAGCAGAAACTCTGATTTCTTAGTTCTGAGATGAGCTGGGAGCAGCTTCCTCGATTGCAGCCTTTGGTCTCAGGTGTCATTCATCCTCATCTGGTGGCAGCAGGCATGCTGGGTGGAGGCACCACTTGTCTTGTCACTGGCGAAGTGGACAGTGGCCACGAAAGGTTATCAGCAGGGCTCTCAGAGCCACCAGATATCTTCATGGGAAAAGGGATGCATTCTGAAGGAGAAGTGCTGCTGACGAAGGATGAATGAAATGGAAGAGGCAGAAGGCTCTGGAGAAGTCGTCCTGTGGCTGTCAGCTTGGCTTGACAGGAAAACGCTTAAACAGGAGAACTGAAATTGCATCATCCCCATTGCAGGGGTTACCTCTGCCATATCTTGTATTGTCAGAAAATAAACACCTCTTTTACACCTGCTCAAAATGCTGTACTTTACATGTTTATGCTTATGCTGTAAAATTGTAAGGAATTTATGATATATATATAATATTCATAACTGTGGTTTGTAGATTAGAACTTTGAGTTTGGTGACAAGCAAAATGAAATAACTTTCACATTCTCATGTGCAGGACAGAAGAGTCTGACCTGCAGGATGAATATTATCCTGAGAAAATATTAAATATTTCTATCCCAGGGAGTCAGCCTCCCCAGGGTCCCTCCAGTCCACTTAGCTGTTTGTGAGCAATGTTGGGAGTAATCCTGTAACATTCCCATTGTAATAGACATTCCCAAAGTGATTCATTGTCTGACAGTGGTCCCAGACAGTTTCCTGTGGTTTGTATTCTGGGATGGGGGGTTGACCCAACACACCCAGGCTGTGTGCCTACAATTCCACATCCAATCCCAACTCCTTGTTCTCCTCTCTGAAGGGAGGTGTGGTAGACCATCATGGGTTAATCATGGAGCAACTGTCCCCACTCATGAATTTCAGAAATCTTGGCTGAGCACCAAATGCATGTAGGGTCCATTTCAGAGACTGAGGAGACACAAATGTTCCTGCTCTTACAATGCTTCTGTTTTTCTGGAAAACATCTGACTTTGTCATCTGTTTTCAGTGCAAGGGGTGAAAGAAAGAGACGGTACCCCAGCCTTGCCCCAAGACAGATGGAGAAACAGAATAAAATGTGAAGGCATGTACAGTGTTTAGCAAAGAAAGCATAGTTGGAAGAACAAGTTTGCCAGCAGAAGCCTAAATTCATCTGTATCAAGAAAGTCTTCAGAAGGAAAGTTAGTGGTGGAGATTTCAGACACTGCTCTAGAAAGATAAAACCAGAATTTAAGGCAGGAGTTATCTGGGAGGATCTGTACAGAAGTATTTCTGGAGAGGGTGATGCTGCTCCTGAGAGAGCAAGGACCCTTCCCCAGCATGTGTGAAGTTCCCTGGGAATATGTGCCCAATATTGTGCTCCATCTATTCAGGAGGTGCCTTTAGGTTTCGTTGGGCATAGTCAAAAGGACCTTTAATGCTTGACACCAAAGGAACAGTGCTTCCTTGTGAGCTGAGGCATTTGGCAGAAGATGACACATAGAAATGACAGCAGGAAAAAGAGAGAGAGAGAGAGAGAGAGAGAGAGAGAGAGAGACAGAGACAGAGACAGAGCCTGATGCTCCCAAGTCAGACAGCCTCATCTCTCCTCTTTGTGCCCCCTGTAATTCTTGGAAGCGGTAGAGGCTACAGAGACCCAGCGAGGATCTTTGTGGGCACAGTGACTTGCATCGCTGCCAAGGACATTGTGAGAGTGACTGACATAAGCAACATTAACAGGATGAGTGAGACATCTGCCATGCTTCTTAACCACTGCCCATGATGCTTGGTGCGAACTTCGTTTCTGGTCTAATTAGTGCTTCTTCCATGTGGAAGCATCATGAAATGAGTACTCTCAAGAACTTGGCTTTTAAAAATAATCATGCCCATGATTCATCTTCAAAGATTCTGACTCAGTCCTTCTGCGATGAGACCGGATCGATGCTTCCATGAAAAAACTCTTTGGGCAGCGGAGATGTGATGCACACAAGCACCCTTTTAAAGCCCTCAGCTCAGTTGCTTTAGTGCACTCACAATATCGTGCAGCCATCACCCATGTTTAGTTCTGGAATGTTCTCAGTATCTCACAGGCAGTTACTGTTCATTGCTTTCTCCCACTGTTCCCTGGTACCCGCTGGTCCATCTTCATGGACTTGGCTGACATGAGCATCTCACACAAATTGACTCAGATGACTGACATTTTGTTCATGCTTCTTTACCTAGTGTAATGTTCTTAAAGAATCTCCTTTGTTCATCTGTGTATCAGCACTTTATTCCTACCAACGTTATAACAATCTTCTGACAACAGCTGAAGGACATTCACTTCTACTTGGTATTCCAGATAATGCTGGTGTGCACACATTTTCTGTTTTGGACTCAGTGTTTATGTAAAAGTAAGTTTTTTAGGTCACATGGTCATTTTATGTTTAAGTTTTTCAGGAATTATCAAAATGCTTTTCAAAGTGATAACACACTATCATATTCTTACCACCAATGTATGACAGATCTATTTCTTCCACATGTGTGTCAGTCTATGGTATTGTACAATTTTGGATTATAGTTATACTGATAGGCTTGAATAATATCTCATTATGCTCTTCTCTGATAATTGATGGTGTTAAGCACATTTTTGTGTGATTATGACCACTTTAATATCTTTTTGAGAAAAAGGTTCTTTCAGATGATTGCCCAGTCTTAGTTGGATAGTGTAACTAAAATTGTTGATTGTTGACTTGTAATGGTTCCTTGTACTTGGTGGACATACACCCTTCCAGACATACAATTTTCAGATGTTTCTCCCAGGTGAAGTCACCACTCACACTCACAGTATTTCTGCACAACCTTCTGATTCTGCTCTGCTAGTAGAAGTGAATCTCGCAGATTCAATGGAGAGCTCAGCAAAGTCTACAAAAGAGCACAGAGGCCTCATCTGACCACAGGAAAGGGACTTGGGGAAACAGAACAGTCAATGTTAGGACATACTTATTTAAAAAATTAGGCACCACTTAGCAAAGTAAGAGGAAGAAGAAAGGATCTGTATGAGAGAAATATTGGCAGAATAAGTAACACATGGGAATATTGGATGGGGTGAATTTTTATTCTTGCTATGGCATCTGATTTGGGAAGTAGAATTCCTGAGATACCTTTTCCTTAATTTTCCAGAAGGCAACTTTTGTGTAATGAAGCAGACTATTCACATCTTTCTTTGAAGGCTCTGTGGCTCAGGGGCCTTAGCAAGTTGAGCGAAGAGGTGATTAAACACTGAGCTGGTTCAGTCATCAGCCAAGCCCATGGTGGACACCTCATAAGTGCTAGGCATAGCTCTCATTGCCTGAAATAGGATGCCAATCACAATAGTTGAGAGTTTCTTTCCTCTGGTAATTATTCTCTAGTTGGGAGAGGCAGCTGTTTACATAAAGTAAGTGCTAACTTAAGAGAGCTGGATGAGGCAGTCTGGGGTTGGTATGCATGCTGCAGCACGTGATTTTAAGTGACTGTCGTTGGCAGGCAAATAAAGTTACATTTGGAGGGAGCTTGGCTGAAAAGAAAGAACGAACCTGGACAGAGGGAGCTTCCTCTGGGCCGAGGGTCAGCCAATGCAAATGCCCTGGGCTGGGAATGTGGTTGGAAGGGGCTGTTGGCAGGCAGGAAGGTGAGCAAGACAGTGTGAGTGAGGGAAGAGCCTGCGGGGCTTTGCAACGCCTGTGCAGACCCTGGTCCCACTCCAAGTGGATGGGAGCCGTGGAGGGTTTTGAGCAGGGAAGCCAGAAGTGACTTAGGTGTTAAGCAGATTACTCTGGCTGCTGAGGGAGAGCAGATTGCAGGTGCAGCTCCAAATGTGAAGCAGAGAGCACAGGTAGGAGTCTGTGCAATGGCTGAGGGGACAGATGGTGGCACCCAGCAGGTGGACAGCTGCAAAGTGGGACAGGAGGACAAAAGGAAGAGGCGAAGACAATTCCAAGGCTTCTGGCCTCAGTAATTCACAGGTACAATTGCTCTCAGTGGGATGGGGAAGGTGTGTGGATGTGTGTATGTACACACATGTGCATGCATGTAGGTGCTTTAGCTTTGACAGGTATTGTCTGAGATCTCTATCAGAGACCTGGCACTGATCAAAGGGCAGGTGATGTGGTACAAAGCCGTCCTTCTGTACTAACTCTGTGCAGGTGCTTTATCACCTGGAAGGAGAACTGGGAGCTTTCTGTGGCTCGCAGGAGAGCTTCAAGGACAAACAGAATTGCTCAGGCTTATTGTGCTCCTCCAGCTGAATGCCAAGGGACCTTCCTCTGACAACTAATAATCTTGAACCTGGGCACTTCTGTGGTGTCCACAGCACAACTGCTGCAGCCCTCTGAAAATTTTGGCACTGGAGAGTTCCTATGTCTCACCTCCCTTCTCTGCCCCTCTTCCTCCTTAATCTGAATTCTCCTCATTCATTTCTCCAGTACTTACCAAGAGTATTAAATGCTTAGGCAAATAGCACATAACCAGTCCCTTCTCAGAGCTGTGCTGACAGCTGCCACCACCACCCTGCCTGGCACCCAAAGGTGCTTTCCTGAAGCAGCCAAAAGCAGACAGACTTTCTCTCCCAATACTGCTTCTTCTCAAAGTCAATCAGGGACACTGAGCAGGTCCGTGAGCCTAGAGAGGATTTCAGACTGGGACAGAGCCCTCGTTTTCTGGAGTCTGAGTCACTTTTATCTAGTAACTGGTGGATGAGGGGTGACAGAAAAAGGCGGGGTATGGACTGGGATCACATCACACAGGGCCTGGATGAGTTCTCTAGGGGCTTTTAGGTCAAAGTTCACAAGGCAGTGGGTGCTGCCAAGGCTCCACAGTGGTGGGCAGGGCCATCATGGCTTGGCTGTCTGGCTACAATAATATTTTTCTTATGCCAAGTTTAATATAATTGAAGTTTACACACACACACTCACACACACAGAGGCAAACACTTAGCTTTCATAATTCCGTTGCAGTAGACATCAATCACAATTGTCCATGCCCAAATGGCAATAAGCCCACTAAGAACTCAGCCACTTCCAGAAATCTCTTTCCCTGTAAAACCTCAGTGCAGCCTCTCAGCCCAGCCTACAGACCAGCTGTCTCCACTCACAGCCGCTGTGGTCATCTTCGTGCTCTGGGAATCACCAAGCCTTCTGCCTGTGAAGTCTCCAGGAGGAGCCAGTGCTGTCCCTGCAGGAAGGTGTCCCCTGTGAGGACCCCAGGCCCACACACTTCCTGGAAGCTGTCCACGATCACGAGGCTCCTCACAGAGGCACAGCCAAGCCCTCTCCTTGCTGCACCCCTTGCTCTGACATCTTTTAGGCTGTGGCTCCCCCATAAATCTCTGGTTAATTGTTGTGTCTCAGATCAAGAATGTCCTCCAAAGTCCTCATGTGCTCCTAGAAGGGGCTTTGGAAGTAACTGGATCATGGTGCTCATAGCTGCCTACTGACAGGAGGCTGGGTTTGCTGGGAGGAGGCAGTCACTGGGGTGTGGCCTGGAAGGGTTATTTCCCTTCCTGGCTCCTCCCTCTGCACATTGCTTCCTGCTTCCATGATGTGAGCAACTCTCTTTCCCCAGGCCCATCCATGATGCCCTTTCTGCCTGGGAGCCTGCTGACCATGGATTGAAAATGTGAGGCATATAAACTCCTCTCTCAAGTGGTGACTATTAGGTGTTTTGTTCAGATAGGGAGAAATCAATTAACACATTTTCTCTTACACTTCATCCTTTGGCTCCACCTTCAAAATGTGTTCAGATGCTGACCACAAACGTGACCTGCTGAGTGACACTCTCCAGGCACACATCTCTGCCACTTGGAGCCTGTGACTGTGCAGGGAAAAGGGGCTTAGCAGATGTGATTAAGGCTCCTGAGTTGGGGAGGTGATGCTGGGTTATTCTGGTGTCAGATGGACCAACTGTGGGCATAGGGTCCTTACAGTAGAGAGGCTGGAGGCCAGAGTCAGAGCAGGAGGCTTGCTTGGAGGAAGCTGAAGACAGGAGGAAGAAATGAAGGAGAAGGGGAAGGGAGGAGGAGAGAATGAATTGGAAAGTGATATTCTCCTTTGCTAACATGAAAAAGCACCTCAGCAGAGGAGTCGGGCAGTGTCTAGAAACTACGCCAGGTAAGGAGGCTGTTTCCACCACAGAGCCCCAGTAGAGGGCAGGACCATCCCTACCAATGCCTTAGGACTCTGGGATCCTCACCTCAGAGCTGTGAGAGAGCAAGCGCTTGTTGTTTGAAGACACCGTGTCTGTGGTGCTTTGATACAGCAGTGACAGTAAATGAAAGCAGCATCTCACCATCCAGCTCCACAACCTGGTGGGACACAGTGTCCTTCGACTGGGTCTCCCTGCATCAATCTTTGCTGTCTGGTGCTCTGGGAATGTCAGCTGGGTCACACTGTGCCACTCCTCTTCTCACAGTTCCCATGTCACCCAGAGTAAAAGCTGAGGTGCAGAGCTTGGTTTCATGGGGCTGGGCCCCCACAGCTGCACCCCTGCATCAGTCTCTCCTACTCCTGCTCTCCATCATGATTCACAGCAGCCAAGCTGGCCCCCAGGCTCTTATGATCAACACCTTCTTTCAGAAAAGTTAAATTTCTTAAATAAGTGGGAGCGCATACTTAAAACAACTTTAATAGGTTTTGACATGGAGTCTTGCGTGCTAGTCAGTTTTCTGTTACTCTAACAAAGCTCCCAACACAATCAATTTCAAACATGAAAGGGTTACTTTGGCTCCTGATCTCAGAGTTTCTGTCTGCAATCATGAATCCACCACTTGTGCCAGAGCAGCCCATCATAATGGAGCAGGCAGTGGAAGGAGCTGCTCACCTACCTCACAGCTTTTGGGAAGCAGATAAAGAGGAAGAAATGCCCCAGGCCACTGGGTCAGCACCCTAAGACCTCCATCTGTGCTCTACCTCTTAAAGGTCCCCCCACTCACAACAGTGCCAAGCTTGGGATAATTCCAGCCTTTGAGGGACATTTCAGATCCAAACTGTAGCAGCCTCGTAATAAGATTCTTGCCTGTGTCTTTTCCAGCCTTGTAGAGAGGAGACCTGACCCCCTTTCCTGGGGTTCCCACTTCCTCCAGACTCTCACAGACCTCTTTCTTCTTGCTTAAGAGCCATCAATCCAAACAGACTTTAGTTTCCTTCCTTCTTCACAGAACTGGACCCCAGACCCACAGGCGGCGGCAGAGGGGGGCTTCTTCTGGAGGTCGCTCCTCACTCAGTGTCTGGGCCTGTGCTTGGCTTGTGAACCCACTCAGCTCAGGGACTGCATGCTTTTTGTGGAATTTGGTCTTACACACAGTGACCTTTGACAGTACATTCATGAGATCAAAGCACAATTGCTATCTGTTGAAAATCTGGCCTGGGGGCTCCTTGAAAGCAATGAAAACATAAATGTAAACAGAAGAAAGTGACCATGGACTATGCATGCTGCTACAGCCATTTGTAATTTTTATTTAGCCAGCAGCTGACATAGAATAAAGTGAATTTGAAAGTAAAATTTCTAATTCCACACAAAAATCCATACAGTGTCAAAATCTCCACGTTCTGACTGGCTAAGTGTTCACCACCTGATAGATATCTTTAAAGAAATCCATTTCGGTAGACAAAACAACTACTCTGTCATCATCTCCTCCTCCAGCAAGCCTGACTGCTTAGACCACATCAGACTGCATGTGACTCCACATGCATGAAAATCCTCCAGTAACCTCAAGATGTGAACCCCATAGGTCCCCAGGGGCCCAACAGATAAGACATGTGAGCATGAAGAGTTATTCCTCCGGCAGCTGGAAATTGCCTGGGCCAAGGTCAGGACAATGTCATACAACTCTCATTTGTGAAGAGAAGATGGACATGTGGATGCTTTTATGTGAATGATCTCAGTTTTTTAAAGAAAAGGCCCATGCCACATAGTTTTTTACGGTGAAGTTTAAACTCAAGCACAACTGCACACTCCAAAGCAGAGTCTGCTGCCATGCCACACAGGCTGCACTAGGATGTGACTGCTGGTGCTGTTTTGATGTTTGGAGCAGCTGCAGAGACTGAAGGGTGTGTGTGCACACTTTGTGGATCCTCATAAGCATCTGAATGTCAAGGTCCAGGAGCGACTCCTCCACATGTGTGGCCACATGTCAGAGCAGGGAGGAACGACAGGAATGGGCAGCTGACCCCTGGCCTCGGCTGTCCTCCACCTCTCTTTTACCTTTACTATTTGAATGAAAGCACAGTGACACCATCATCCTCAATGGATCTGCTGCAGGCCCATCACAGTGGGCATGGAGTGGGGGAGGAGATGGCAGTCAGGCTGGAGAGGGCTGCATGGAACAGGTCTTCCCAGGCCTTTGGAAGATGTGTGGCAGCTTTGACTCCACCCAATAAGAGGTCATAGAGGGTTTCCACAAGAATGCACCAAGATCTGCTTTGGAGTTCCTTGGGAATCCTTGTCCCTGGGCCCTGAACACAGTGATCAGGGGTTTAACCAGCCTTGCCCCACCCCAGGGCAGGCTCTTCTTGGACCAGGCTTCCGTCTCTCATTGGCATCACTTCCTGGTTCCCACTGCCTCTCCAGTTTGCAACCCAAGTTAATAGCAGAAATGCAGGACTGCGACAGGCAAAGGCATTTGGGGGTGAAAGGGAGGTTTGGTTGTGTCTTCTGTACTCCCCGTCTCAGACCCCCTCCCCGCTGAGAAAGTATGTAAATGGGAAAGACATGAGCTCCCTAGGATTTCAACGTTTTAAAAGGAGAAAACAGTGCAATTCAAGCAAAAGGTCGTGCATAAAGTAACCTGTTTACTTTAGCCTCAGATCCTGAGGATTTTTAATGGAAAGGCCAATAGAAGCCACCCGAAGGTTTAATCTCATCTGTGGAGTTTCTGCTGATACAGGTGACATTTAGAAAATATGCATCTCTCGGGTGTTCTAAAGGTCAGAGAGGCTAAGGGTTGGGTGCTTTGGTCTTTGTCCTCCAATAAAGTGGAACTAAGCTCTGATGCCTTCTCCTAAGACTCTTTGTTAGAGTTAGACTTTCAGGCAGCCTTCGGTAGGATCATCCATCCAAACAGTGTGCCCTGCATGCAGGACTCTTCAGTGGTTGTTGCTGGACCCTCCTTAGTGGCAGCTGGACTCTCCTGAACTCTGCATTTTGTGGCCCTTCCCCTCAACAGACGTGGCAATATTATCAGGGCTAACTCTGAGCCCCTGACACAGCTGGGCTCTCCTTGAACTAATATGCTAGGTTGGAAGCCGTGGATTCCTGTGTTTAGATTTGCATTATTATTACCTTTGGTCTCAAGGTTCACTGTAGCAGTCTGTGGCTTTTATACTTTGGCCGCCCTGATCCCTTTCCATCTCTCTGGCCTTGGAGCCTTTGCACCTGCCACGCTTCCCTGCAACCAGGCACCTCTTTCCCTAGATCTTGGCCTGGCTGATGCCTTTTCAGCATGAGGGTTCCATAGGATGTCTAGTGCTCTGAGCATCCTTGTGGTCAGCCTGTCCACACAGCCATTTTCTGTCACATGACTGTGACCTCTCCCAAAGGATTCACCTCTACCTGGTATTATAATACCTAATTCTTTGCAGAGAGCTGTTTTCTTCTTCCCAGCAAGTTCCAAGATAAAGCAGATCTACAGGTCTTGTCTTGAGCAGTAACGCTGGTGACAGGCACTCCTGCTGGCTCCGAAGAGGCCCTCTACAAGGATCTGCCACATGAGTGAGTAAGGCTGATGCTCTGACCAGGTAAACATTCACTGTCTCAACAGCATGGTTAGTGCTGCTTTGGTGACCACCTGGTTCAGCTAAGTTTCCTTAAGGTATTGCAGCAGTGCACAGCTTCTGAGTTCAGTTCTGGTTGCTTGTAAAAAATATAAATCAGATATATTCATGAAAGTCGATGAGCATGCACTTGAAATTTTTTGTAGATATTGTCAAAAGGCCTTCAAAAAGCTAAAGCATCTTCCACCTCTTTCAGACCACAGAAAGCTGATTTTCCTCCTCTTCCCTAGGAAGACTGGGTGACGTCAAGGAGCAGACCTTCTGCTGGGGAGGAGAGTAGGTATCACATATGCACTGGTCTTCTCCTTCTAAGGAATATCTGTGGACACAGAGGTGTCCCTGAAGTTGAAGAGGACTATATTTATCAACCTGTGTGTGTGTGTGCATGTGTGTGTGTGTGTGTGTGTGTGTGTGTGTGTGCAATATGGCCCTCAGTCTGTAGGAGTGTGTTTGTGCTCAGAAACACAAGCTGTAGGAGGGACCATGTGGACCCTGAGTAATCTTCCTTGGGTCAGGTATAGAGCTCCAGTGGGGTCTAATGTCCTCCTGGCCTGCTTTGAAATGCAGGATTTGCTGCAAGGCCTTCAATCGGTGTGAGAAGAGAACATGCAATGCATAATGTCACCTGTAGATTAACAAAACTCCTCTAGGTTTAAGAGAAGCTTAGAAAGCATTTTAAAACCAAAATATCTGTAATTCAGAATTCAAATCTAACTCTCTAGAATAATTGAACAGAAACTTAGATCTGGTGTGGAACTTGAAACATGACGCAAGTTTAAATTTTGAATAATAACTAAGACATAAATTTACTTTAAAATATTGCTTTATAGGGCCAGAGATGCAGCTCAGCAGCACAATGTCTGGCAAGCATGAGGTCATGAGTTTGACCTCAGTGTATCACTTTACTTCCTCACTTTAAAATAGAAGTCAGAGGTGTGTAAGAGTAGGGATTCATTATAACTGCAGAGTCTTCAACTTTGCGGGTGCAATCATCCTGGTGGCTCTGCCTCTAACTGATAATATATGCACTTTCTAATGTTCTAGGAGGCTTAATACACCTTGTGATAAGTGCTGTGTTATTTCCATTCTGGATGATGCATGCCAAGCACACAGGCCTGCACTGTGTGAAAAGCACACCACAGGCACGAAGGCCTTGGCTTAGATAAACAGTGGCAGGCTCTGAAACAGCACCTGCTTAGGTGAAAACAGGATGAAGGGCTAGAAATAGCTGGATCTTGGAGTCAGCACCATGTGACACAGATCCTTGAAGCACTGACAGGTAAGTATTCCGTGTGTCAGGAAGTGTGTTAAGTCCTTTTCGGTTAAGACAGGGGTCCCAGAAATGAGAGTCATTAACAGGAGGGGATCGCAATGCCTAGAGAAGTAGAATCTGTCTGTCCTTACACTGTCAGAGAGTCCTGCTGTTGATAGCAAACCCAGTGGAAGAACTTTTGTATGGAGGAGTTGGAAGGCAACTCTTTATTCTGTTAGCAGGCTGGTTGGACCAGGTCCCACTGGTCAGCACTGACTGAGAGTGGAGCAGAAGCTTGTATACATTTCATAAGCAGGAAGTACAAAGGCTCACAGCAGGGATCACATAACTGGTTACGCGAATGAAGTCATGTGTTGTCAGGCAAGTTTTTTTCTGGGCAGGCTAGTCAGAGCGCAGTTTATCACAAGGTAGGAGAAAATAGGGGGACTGAGCGGTGGTTGAAACCAAGCATGTCCCTGACTGGTTTATCTTGGATGGGACAGCCGTTGGAAGTAGAAAATGTTTATATGTCAGTCAGTACAGGCAGACTGAGGGGTGTGGTCAGACTGAGCCAGGTCAGACCCTCTCTAAGCTGCAGCAGGAGTGGGCAGTCCAGGCTGACTGAGTCTGAAGGTCTGTCCACATGGTGGGCTGGGTGAGCACACCTTGTCTCAACAGAGCATCAGATTGCTAACTTTTCTGTCATACCACAGCCAGGTTTCAACCAACCTCAAGCAAAGACCTATGCAGTTCCTAGGAAAAAAGGAAAGGATAAAGGAAAGAAGAGATAAAGAAGAGTGAAAGGAAAAAAGATGGAAGGAAGAAAGGAAGAAAAAACTGAAGGGAAATTCTGGAGGAAGGAAAGCAAACTCTCATTCCCAAGGCAATAGGGGAAAAGCCATGTATAAGAAGTATCAGAAAAACTATCCTGCACAGTGTTTGTTGACCACCCCATGGGATGTCTTTCACTGCTACAGTAACTATAATTAATAAAATTTTAATAGGTACTGTTAGCTAACTCTAACACTGAAGACAGATTCAGTATGGGCTTCTGTAACAAAATACAGTAGACTGGTTGGTACAAACAAATAAATCTGGAAGGTTCAGTAATAAAGTCCGGGCTGGCTGGTGCCTGGTGAGGGCTCTTCTCCTGGCTGCCAGTATCTACCTTTTCACTGTGTCGTCATGCAGCTTCTCTGTCTCTGTCTTTCTATCTCTGTATCTCTGTGTCTCTGTCTCTCTCTGTCTGTCTCTCTCTGTCTCAGTCTCTCTGTGTCTCTGTCTCTGTCTCTCTCTGTCTCTGTTTTTCACTATCTGTCTCTCTGTCTCTGTCTGTGTCTCTGTCTTTATCTCTGTCTTTCTCTGTCTCTCACTGTCTGTCTGTCTGTCTGTCTGTCTGTCTGTCTGTCTCTGTCTGTCTCTTTCATATAAGCGTGTTAATTACATGTTTGGTCCCACACCTTTATGACTATCTAAACCAATTACAGTGGTACCTTGGTTCACAAAACTCAATTTATTCCAAGATTCTGGATCTGGAGAATATGGCTATGTTTGTGTTTGTGTGAGGAATATGGATGTGGTTGTGTTTTCCACTGGATGAGGAGTTTGCAAACAGAAGCAAAATTTTGCCAAATGCTTCTGTTTATGAATAGAATTGTTAGCAATCGGGAGCATTGACAAGGTATTCATGTATCACGAGGTATTACTGTATCTTGCTCCAACACAGGTTGCCCCCAATACCATCCCAATAGGGTGTAACAGTTTCAATATATGCATTTTGGTTGTGGTTTCCATAACACTGAGAGAGCAAGCAAATGACTGAAATAATCCACATTTTGTCTAAAGTCGAGGGTAGAACAGAACACCAAGAAGTCACCAAGCCTCAACCACCAGGAATAAGGTGTCAGAGGCATCACTCTCTCCCAATGCTGTAGAGGGGCCCAAGGTTGGAGAGAGGCGCTCCCTGAGCTGGGGGCTCAGGAAATGTCTGTGTAAAGCCTGGTGCAGCTGGAAGGCTGTGAGAAACTCTGGCAAACTAAGTCCCATGCTAAGCAGGAGTCAGCATCACCTGCCAAAACCAAGGACAACTAGAGCAACGGAAAATCCCAATCCCTGTGCAACTCCAGCCCAGGGCTGACGGACTCAACCCTAACCCGGCAACAGATGAAATGAACCCACTTGTGACTCAGGTACCGTTTGTCTCAGTTTGTGCTGCCACCCACAGATCATGTGCAACCTTCAACCAAATATAATGACGCACAGGACAGAGCAAAACCGAATATCCAAAACAGGACATTGTAAAGAGACGAATCTACCAATAAAATCAGGGTCAGATCTGACTTGGGTATGGTAATTATCTTTAAAAATTAATAATAATTGTGGTTACTGCAGGAGTGAAAGTAGATAAGGGTGACCAGCAAATATTGTGCATGCTAAGTAAAGAAGGTTACTGCACTGCCCTCAGCCTCCCCAACTCCCTGGATCTCATCTTGAGCACAGTGATCCCCTTGTTCTTACCTCTTGCCAAATTGGTTCCAGAAGTCCACTTTTCTGAGTGTCTCATGTGTGGTGTCACAGCTGCCTTGATGTCCCAAAAGGATTTAAAATGTTTATGACAGTTTTTGCTGAAGAAACCATGACCCTATATGCTCGTCCACCTTGTTCACTGGGTCTGGTTCTGTGTCTTCTGACTTTTCCCCAAAGTCCAGTGATGAGGAAACGTCACCTTCTAAGTGCCATTTTCCCTTTCCCCAGACTTTGACCTAGGCAAGCACATGTCTTAGGGAATTAGGGAGCAGAGTACCTGGGTCGGGATTGTGGGAGATAATGGGATCCGGGCATCCAGTGTGGTCTGCAGGTGATGCCTCCCTGCCTGTAAGCTAAGCAGCTGTGCCTTGGAATGCTGGGCTTGAGATGTAACAAAGAGCACAGTGGTGACATCACTGCTGTGCGCTCCATTTATAAACCCTCCCCCTGCAGCAATCCAGGCACTGCTGAGGGAGGCATCTAACTGGCTGCCACTAACCTAGCAGGATGACACTGTGGGCTGGTGCTAGTCTCTCATGGATTTTCCAGGCGGTGCTGTTGATCTATATGCCCCTCCCATGGGCTTTGTTGGGATGTTGTTGAATCCAAACCACTTTCTTGTGAACCCACTTCCAAAGGTCACAGTGAGCCCTTTGCTTCCCAGGCATTGCCTGTTAATCCCACTGTCTTAGTTACTTTTTACTTGTTGCTGAGACAAAATACCTGAAGCTCAAGTTGGGAAAGGAAAGGTTTATTTCTTACAGTTTTTGGAGGTTTCAGTCCACACTCAGTTGGCTCCAAGGCAGGTGGGCATGGCTGGGCCGCAGTTCATGGTGGCTGCAAACAGCAAGCCGGAACCAGCAAAGAGCAAGGTACACTTTCTTCCTGCCATTACATCACATCCTGGCTCCACCCCTATGTGGGTGGAGCACTGACATCATCAATCTAAGCACTAGACAATGAACCAATCACAAATACCCAATGCAAACTCATGAGGCCTGGGGGACACAGACATAAATCATGACACCCACTAAACCTTACATCCCACAAAAACAGTCTGCAGGAGGTATTGTTGCTGGTCTCTTGGGAACCTACTCCACTGCTCCAACATTCCTGAGCTCTGGCTCAAACAGGAGCAGAAATGAAAAGAGGACTTTGGAGAAGAACACAAGTGTCCAGAACAGCTGCAAGCTTAATACTAGTCCTCTATCAATAATTAACAGAAAAATTAGAACAAAAGTTAGCAACACTTTAGAAGCCCTGTGGAATACTACCAGCAACCCAATGAAACCAATATTTATTTAACTTTCCACTCAGCAGCAACAAGAGCCTACTCTTTTTCATGTAAATGCTGAATGTCGAACAAGAGAGATCTTGTCTTAGCAAAGAGCACAAACCTCCATAGCACTCGTGATCACAGGGACAAAGGTCTCTGCAAAATGGTAGCTGATAGAGCACAGAAATATACACAATGTTACTATGTCTGTGCACCAGAATATGGGCTGCTTCACTGTTCCATCCTCACAGTTTTCTGTACTGAAAGAAAAAAACGACTTGCATGGCCAAGCAGGACAGAAGAATGCAGCCATGATAAAAACATGAACAACCAGGAAGAGAAAGAAGTCTTGTAGTCCAATAAAGGCATCCAGAGTGCTGACAGCTGACACTGCCCTCACAGGTGAGTGACTGAACTCTTTCCCTAGAGTCCAGATGGAGAGAATGTCCCTCTCCCAGGCACCCTAAACACAGAAGTGGGAGATCCAATGCAATGAGTGTGAAGGGGAAACAGTGACATTTTAGGGGAAAGGAGGGGAAAATGTTCACAGACAACAAGGGTGCTCACAGAGAAACACTGAAGGATCCCCAGAAGCTACCGAGTTATGAATGTCATTAAGAGCACACAAGGTCAATGGCAAGAAACAGGTGCTTTTCTTCATTCTAGCAATGAATACTGAAATTAAACAAAAAAACCTCCTTCTTACCACATTAAAATATTATGGAATTTTAGGTTTAGAGGCAAAAAAAAATAGTTTCTGTAACTTGAAAACTACAAATGCTAATGAAAAAATAGATGAAGGTCATTTTAAGTTGAGGTCCACACTTTGTCCACAGGTGATGGAGCTGCCAATTCTCTTTCATGAAATCTCCAGCTCTAAACAGTCAGAGAATATTGGCAAAAATCTTTTAAGATAGCACTAAGGTAGTCTGAAAATTTATCTTAAAAACAGAGAAACCAGAATAGCAAAACAAGTCTGAAAATAGGAAAAATTTTGAGTCCTCCCCTGTATGACCTCAGGACTCACGGTGCAGCTGAGCTGATTAAGGCAGAGGAGCATTTGCAAAATGCTGCACCTGCCAGGCAGGAAGTGAAGGAGAATTCAGAAGCGACTCACACGGATACAATGCACTGATTTCTACCAAAGCTGCCAGTGCTATTCAAAACATGAGTGGGGTACTTTCAGAAGCTGCTTTTAGACACCTGGACATCTAGGAAAACTGTACCCAACTCTTATCTCACACTATATGAAAATACAAAATAGATAGTAGATTTAAATGTAAAATGTAGAACCATAAAACTCCTAGATGGAAATATAGGAAAAAAATCTTTTTTGTCCTTGGTCTAGACAGTCTTCTCATATATAACACCAAAACATAAAACATACAAATTGAACCTCATCAAATTTAAAAACCTCTGCTCTTTCAAATACACTACTGAAAGAATGAGAAGATAGACGATACTATGATAAAATATTCATAAAAACATACCTAGTAAAGAACTCGTGTTGAAAATATGTAAAATCTCTCAGCTGAATGATAAGAAAACAACCCAATTTTAAAAAAGACCAAATACTTGAATAGGTATTTTACTGAAGAAGATATACAGATTACTGCTGGCAGACAAATATAGAGAAAGACACTCAGCATCACTAAAACACAATCTCACAATGAGATAACATGATGGGCTTATTACAAATAATATTTAAGAGATTTGGCAGTGTCCATCTCTGCCAACAGTTTATCATGCATTGCGATTGATAGAGCAAAATGCTCACCTTTGGAGAAGATTTTAGGTGATTTCCTAGAAAGTTAAACAGGAGTCTAGCACATCACCTGTCACCTCCACTCCTAGAACTTACCTAGATAGAAGAAGAAAGAAAAGCTTAAATTCACATTGACACATTCCTAATTGTCCAAAACTAAAAACATCCACAAGTACGTGTGTGTGCGCTCCTGTGTGTGTGTCTGTGTGTGTGTGCTCCTGTGTTTGTGTGTGTGCTGATCAAAGCTTGTTACTTGCCTGTCAGAGAGCTTTAGATTCATTGCAGGAATGATCCTTCTGCTCTCCTGTGTGGCTGGAGGTTCTCTACAAAACTCTCTGCCCTGAAGCCTGAAGCAATTATTCTGCCTTATGATTATGTTACATGTCCCAAGATTTATGATTTTTCAAGATATTACTATTTGTGAGTTCTAATTGGGCTTAGCTTTCCTTGCAACTCAGAGCTTCTGGACATAGGGCTGACTTCCCAGCTGAAATTACCCAGAGGCCAGGGTGGGCGCTCAGGAATCTTCCTTTTCTCAGACCTGCTACACGTGGTGGTTACTCTGCTGGGATGATCAGTGTTACCCAGTGCCTGGAACCCTAACAGGACCAAACGGAGTGGGGAGTTCAGGGACTGTTACGTGGACCGAAAGCCTTTCAGTATGATTCTGTCATCACTGGTTCAGTTTGTCCAACGCATTTACATTTTTAAATTTAGTGTGTGTCTTGTTCTCAGCTATCTATGCTACAACTTACAAACCTGTCTGAGTTGGAAGAATAAATGTCCCTGTTATGTGAGTAAGAATGTTCCAGATGTGAAGGTTCCGGAAGGTGTCTTTGTATGCTGTTGGAGAAGGGGCAGGGCTTTCACACTGTTTTTAGGTTTCCTTCAGAGAATCAGGTATCAGGCAAGCTGGAGCACAACGACCCTTTGTGTGGCCCAAGGCTCAACATTTCCCATCAGAATCGTGGGTTGGCAACCACTGTTCCTTTTTTAAGCTCTTAGTTAGAGGTCTGTTAATAGCTTGGTCCTCATCCGAGCTCCCTGGCCTGTGTGCCTCCATCGCTAATTCTTCAGTGTCAGTGTCAGTGTCAGTCCCCAGATCTCCTTTCCATTCACACTCGTCACCAGGTGGTCACCTTGCTACATAGCCTCAAACCCCATCAGTGTCCATCTGAGCCCTCCCACTTCTCCTTCATTCCAGACTCCCATCTCCCATGGTTTGTCTGCTGTGTCTCCTTTCCTGCCGCAAAACCTCTCAGCACACATGTAAGACTGACTTACACTTTGCCACTAATGTGTTCTACCCACACGTTTCCTCCTCCCAAGAAAGGTTTACCCTATTTTTCAGTAGCTTTAGCCCAAACCTCTAGGTCAGCCTCTTTATCTTCCATCTCCAAAATCTCTAGAGCAAGTTCTGTCATTTTTCTCCCTGAATCTATTAAACATCTAGCCACGTCTCAATCTTACCCACTCTCACTCCGGTCCTCTCCTCTGGGTTCACGGCAGGACCTTCATCGCTGGGCTGTCCTCTCCTGTTCTGGTCCCTCCCCAGCCTGTTCTCAGCAGCACAGCCAGAGCCACCCTGTTTGAGTGTGTGGGTCACATCACCACTAGGCTTGACACCCTTCTGTGTCTCTATTGCTCCCTGCAGGAAGAGCCCAGGTCCTCCCCATTGGCCACGGCACAGGTTCCCTGTGCTGGCCCCCTCACCAGCCTACGGTTGCTCCCTGGGCTCCAGTCACACACCCTTGCTGGACCTCAGTTTGGCACGTGTCCTATCCCATTCCCTGGGGACACTGGTCCTACCATTTCCTCCGTTGGGACCCCAGGGCACCTTCATGGCTCAGGCCCTTCATTTTTCAGGCCCTTCCTCAGATGTGGCGCTTTCAGTAGGCTTTTCTGAGAAGATGCTTTCTAAACGTGCAGCCCGCATGACCCCTTATCCCTCCTATTCCTATCCTCCTGTCTGTGAGATGCTTTGCCCATGCCCCCCTCCACCATCTCACGCCACTGGGGTGGGGTGGTATTAAGTCTGCTAATTTACTCCCAGAATCTACAACAACAACCTTCTAACTACATGAAGAATGAATAACCCAGTGGATGAATTCAGGGAATGTAGACACAGAAGGGTACAATAATCACTTTTGGGGAGAAGAGAGATCCCTCAGATTTCCTAAGTGTCATTTCTTAAGAGATACATAAGTATGTATATTTC